GAGGTCAACTAAAATACATTTAAAGCTTTCCTGTTTAAAATGTTAAATGTTCTTAGTATTTAGTTGTAAAATATTACACTTATAGCCTACATGAAAATACGCCGGCACATAAACCAGCTATGCGCAGAATACGGTTTAAAGTACTTTAATGCTTATTAACGTTAATGATCGCTCCGAGCTATGTAATACGTACTTCACCCGAATCATTCTAAACAGAATGAATGGACACAGACTCTTAATTGTCCGCTAAGGCACACTGTTATACTTGCATGCTCGCTAGGGCTGAAAGATGTGGTGGAGGAAATCTTGCCGGCGTTACTGGAGCAGGACATCGCGGTCTTAATACTCACTAAGGGCTGTGACACGGCGGGCATGATGAGCCTCCTGGACAAGTTCGAGGAAGCCTCCGACGAACCAGTGTCCGCAGCACTCAGGTCCGCGGTGTCGAGGAAGAGCCCTGCGCTGTACGTTTACACCTCGGGAACAACAGGTAGGGGCCGTTACAACCCCGCGGCCGCTTTTGGCAAACAAATCGGGGAGCGTTTCTGTCCCTGTGTGCATGCACACTCCTGGATTTGGAAGACTTAATTGTTTCATCTGGATGACCTGACTGTTCTCCCTCCCAAAGGTCTCCCCAAAGCAGCCGTAATCACGCAAGAGCGACTATGGGCTGCGACTTTCATTCAGTCTCTGGCCGGAGTGACTTCTAAGGACATATTTTACATTAACCTCCCCCTCTACCACAGTGCTGGATTCTCCATTGGCTTTGCAGGTGCCATTGAAAAGGGTGAGCTTTTTCTAAATGGTAATATTCTCAGTATACATTCACTATTACTTGCAGTGATAACTGCGTCAAACACAATAACAACAACCATAGTAACACCTGTTGCCACAGAGATTATCTTACTGTTGAGTATAGGGCTGCCCAACCATCTTCCTGGAGATCAACCAACCTTTCGGAGTATTGCAGAGTATTATCTCAGTACTGGAGCCAGCTATGCTGAAGCTACATTGGCTCTAATACTGAGATGCTATGGAAGGGCCTGATTATCTGTATCAGGTGTGTTAAATTATGGCAGAGGGATGGGGATGGCAGTCATTTTAAGGGGGCCAGATCTTCTCTTCCTCTCTCTGTCTGTCTAGCTGTCTGTCTCTGTCTGTCTCTAGCTGTCTGTCTGTGTCTCTCTGTGTCTAGCTGTCTGTCTCTGTCTGTCTCTAGCTGTCTGTCTGTGTGTCTCTCTGTGTCTAGCTGTCTGTCTCTGTCTGTCTCTAGCTGTCTGTCTGTGTGTCTCTCTGTGTCTAGCTGTCTGTCTCTGTCTGTCTCTAGCTGTCTGTCTGTGTTTCTCTCTGTGTCTAGCTGTCTGTCTCTGTCTGTCTCTAGCTGTCTGTCTGTGTTTCTCTCTGTGTCTAGCTGTCTGTCTCTGTCTGTCTCTAGCTGTCTGTCTGTATATCCATCTGACTCTCTCGCTCTCTCTGTCTCTAGCTGTCTCTCTCTTGCTCCATCTCTCTCTCTGTCTCTAGCTGTCTGTCTCTCTTTCTACTCCACACCGGGGAAGCCGTCACCACAATATCAATCTCTTCAAACTACCTTCGTCTCCCTCTTCATGTTATGTGAGGTACGTTTACAGCGGGCAGTAAAATTTGCCCACCACGGCAAAAAGAACAGCTCTCAAGTACAACTTGGTTCTCTTTGTTCGTTCCAAAGAGTCATTCAAAGGAATAGGGTTTTTCCTGTATGTCTCATCATTACTCCAGAAGTACTGTACTATACCCTGGTATACTAGCTTGTGTAGTGCTTTACTGTTTCAGTGAATTATATGTTGTTACAGTGTTACAGTTTTCTTCAGAGGGTTAATACTGATTCTGAACGTACTTTTAAATATTTAAGTAATGTGGATAATGACCCTAGTGTTACTTTTGAATACTCAGAGCTGGTTTCTACTAATTCTCTTCGCAGGACACTTTTGTGAATTGTCCTCTACTAAATGCTGTTCTCCTTGCTTCATGTAATTTACATGTAATCTGATCTCCTCCTGATGCAGGGCTAACAATCGTTCTTCGGAGAAAATTTTCTGCCTCCCAGTTTTGGGATGACTGTCGGAAACACAACGTCACTGTGATCCAGTACATCGGCGAGACGATGCGCTACCTGTGCAACACGCAGAAGGTGACAAACTGCCCTATAAATCACAGCCGAGTGGCGTGTCCAGGAGATCAAAAATGCACAGCTAAGCATAGCACTGAGTCAGCATATCACGGCAACTGTAATATCACCCTGTGTGCCATGGACACTCAGGGGTCACAGATTGTTGAAACACATTGTAATGAATTCCTGCTTCTTTTAAAGTTTTGTTTAACTAAGGCGATCTCAAGGATGTGTGCTTTGTTGTTCTCTGGTATGGAATGTGTTACTGTAAAAAGTTCTTTTTAAATCCAACTTTTTTCACACGTAGAAAGCTGACGACAGGGACCACAGAGTGAGGCTTGCCATTGGCAATGGGATAAGAGCAGATGTTTGGAAGGAGTTTCTGAATCGATTTGGCAGCATCCAAGTGAGGGAACTGTACGCCGCCACAGAAGGGAACATCGGTTTCATGAACCTCTCTGGGAAGATTGGTGCAGTGGGACGTGTAAATTACATCCAAAGGGTGAGACTCAGGCGTTGGCCGGCTGAGATTACATCTCTGAATAGAGTTAATGGAGGTTAATAACATCCTGCCATTTATTTCAGAAAATCTTCCCCTACTTGCTGATCAAATACGATACAGAGAAGGAAGAGCCCGTGAGGAACTCTGAGGGTCTGTGTGTGGAAGTTCTCAAAGGTGAGTAAATCCACAGCATGTCAGGTGGCTCCAGATCGTGATGGACAAAATGACGTTTCATGAACCATTTAAGAACATAAGAACTATACAAACGAGAGGAGGCCATTCGGCCCATCGAGCTCGCTTGGGGAGAACTTAACTAATTTGCTCTATTTTTTTTGCCACACTATACATACTATCTGTTGAAAAAAGGGCACAAAGCATGCCCCAAAGCAAACTAAGAGCACCATCTAGTGGCGGCAGAAAATACAGCAAATGGTTCATGAAGCATCATTTTGTTCATCACTAGCTCCAGACCTCAGGGCTTCCTGAAGTAAACAGTGTCATTTTCCTTTGTTATCTCCGCTATGACCAACGGTACTAGTTTGGAGACAACATGGAATGAGGCAACACAGCAGAATATATATCTGTTTATTTTAATACTCAAAGAAAAATGTGGGAAATATTTTTGTGCCATTTGCTTTGGCTAAATATTAAAGAAATCGTGGCTGAGTCTGTTTAGATGCCCCTCTGTTGCAGGAGAGACTGGACTGTTGGTTTCTAAAATAACTGAAAAGGCCCCCTTTAATGGATACGCCAGAAATCTCCAGCAGACGGAGAAGAAGCGACTGAGGAACGTGCTTCAGAAAGGAGACCTGTACTTCAACAGCGGAGACTTGCTTAGGATTGATGAGGACAATTTTATCTACTTTCAGGACCGGATTGGGGACACTTTTAGGTGCTTCTCTCTGCTGTCTGGAAGACTGTGCACCTCATTAAAATGAAATGGTTTAAGTCTTAAATTCTAAGGTAGCAAACACCAATTCTTGTCTTCAAGAGTCTGTATCCATTTAGTTTAAATTGTTCTTTGGAGATTTGGATTACAATTAAGGTAGCACTTGGATGTAGAGCTGATATTTACATTGGCTTGCTGTTCAACACCCCGGTGCAATTTGGGTAAATCATTTCTGAAAGTTCACAGGTCACAGTAATCCTAGAACATCTGAACATTTGACCCCTTTGTCTGCAGGTGGAAGGGAGAGAATGTGGCCACCACAGAAATAGCAGATATCCTCAGCATGGTTGATTGCATCAAAGAAGCAAACGTGTATGGGGTCAGAGTACCAGGTGCAAGCACGGGCCCTCTCAAGTTTTTTTTTTTTCCCTCAATGCCTTTCAAGATTCCTTTCCAGATTCTTGGCTTTGCTTGGCAACCTTAAACAAACAATGTAAATATATGTGAATATATTGTTATTACAGGTTGACCGTGTTCTTTCTTTCTAGGCCACGAGGGGAGAATCGGAATGGCGGCCATCACACTGAAAGAGGACAAGCAGTTTGACTGTTCTAGCACGTTCAGCCATGTTGCTAGCTACCTCCCTGCGTACACCTGGCCGCGCTTCATAAGGATTCAGGTACCAGTGCGCCACTGAAGGTTCCCCCACCCCGCCGTGTTCTAACAAGTCTCAAAGATCAAAAAACCCATGAATGCATTTAGCGGTGCATATCCAGGATACTGCTGGAAATTCCTGCCCTATGAAAGCCATAGAAATCACTGCACGTTGTTTAATAGCACTTTATTTTTCCAGAGTCAGCTAGACATCACTGGGACATACAAGCAGAAGAAAGTGAAGCTGGTCGACGAGGGATTTAATCCAGCTGCTATTGAGGATCCTCTCTATATCCTGAATGAGCGAGAAAAGAGCTACATCCCAATGACACAAAAGACGTACAGCTTAATAGCATCAGGACAAATGCAGCTGTAAAAACAAATTTCACATTCTTCACGTAGCCTTTCCAGGAAATAACTGCAAAGGTTATTTAATCTCAGGGGAATTATATGTGTTTAATGATTGTTTACCTTAGTTATTGTCAGAATGCTTCACCTTAATATATTTGAACTAGCGCTATCGTTTTGTATAGATATTTTTATAATTAAAGACACATTACTAGCTAAATTTATAACTAGTAGTGTAGTTGGTGGGGGACCTGCATTGTGCCAGTCTGGATAGGCTCCAGAGCCTCGGGACTCTGCATAGGACAAGCGTGTATAGAAAATGGATGGATGTATATATAGTGTATAGTACCAGAAAGGCACATTTATTTTAATAGTAATAAAAATGATTTTAAAAAAAAACTCAAAAGGTTAAAGCACTCTTTCAGTTTCCGTCCCATTTATAATTGTAAATGAAAGGTATGTATCAAATGCTTTTGTATAAAACAGAGGCCAATCAGTGACCAATAACAAGTGCAAGTTAGCTATACAAAGCACTGTTAGAGTGTAATGGCCAAACTGAGAAGGACCCAGTCTGAGCAGAGCCTCTGCTTAACACCACGACGTTCCCCAGCTGGGATGCTACGGCATTTCACCAGGCTACAACGTGCTCACAGATTATGGAAGCCACCTTCAGCATCGACCTCCATCTTGATCACAGCTCTTTCAGATGATCTACTTGGAGTACTCCACCTGTACCCTCATGAGGGAGATGGTCAGCTTTAACTCGTCTACTAAACCAAACTCCATACCTTTGATGATCCAGCATTCTCTAAGGTAGCTCCTCAGCTTTGGAATTCCCTTCCCTGTGCAATCGGTGACTCCCCCTCTCTCCCACTCTTCAGATCTTGCTTTAAAACATTCTTGTTTTCCCAAGCTTTGCAGTTCCTTCCACTCCACTTTTTTCATTATTTTGAACCCTCCATGCCCTTCCTGCTCATCTTGCTTCATCTTACAGCAGACATGTTGGTTTAACTTCTGGTTTTTTTTATTTGGCTTGCTCAACTATTTCATGTTTTACGGTAGCTATGTCGTGTATTTATGTGGCATACAGCCACCAGCTCATTAGCTTGGTGGGATGTAGGGGGTGAGCAGGGGCGGATTAACGCACAGGCTAGATATGGCTTAAGCCTAGGGGCCCCACGTGTGCCTGCCTGCAAGGGGGCCCCCATTGGCGCGGAGGGGGGCGGGGTTGGGGGGCCCACAGACTACTGTAGCCTAGGGGCCTCTGTGCACCTTAATCCGCCCCTGGGGGTGAGTATTGTTTTCGTTGACTAATTGATCACAGCAATTAGGAAAGTGATATTATGGTATCGTCATGATACTTTTGGGATTCAGTCACAATATTAAACAGAATGCTGTCAGATCAGGATATATAGATCAGGGTTAGCATGCTATACAATGGAAATACAACCATTCTTCCACATCTATACACCTCAGTTAGGGCAATGCTACACAATAAGAAAGGAATCAAACAGGTCTGTCAAGAAAATGCCTGAGGATACCGTATATGACTTGGGGAAAAAAAACAAGCCATTAGTGATTGTTTAATGGGGAATGCAGACAACATGAACTGACGTGTGCAATGCGATACATGCACTGCTGTGGAAATGAACATGAGCTAGGCCAGTGCTTCTCAATCTGGTCTTCATGGACCCCTACACAGTCCACGTTTTTGGTGGGGAGCTGGGAGGGAGCAAAAACGTGGACTGTCTGAGGTGCCCTGAGGACTGGGTTTAGAAACACTGAGCTAGACATGCAACAAAAAAACAGCTTCAGTTAGTGTGAATCAGCTCTGAAATCTTGCTGATGCTCATATATGAAGACCTTAGACCCTAATGCAGGGGGCCAGTGGTGCGCTGATCTCCACTGTAATTCATAACTTATTTGCTTATTTGAGGTTATTTGTAGTGGAACCAGCTTGGTGTACCAGGGCCACTCCTCACTAAAGATTAACTCAGAAAAACAAAAGACACAGAAATGTTAGTGCCTCACGCTGCAGTGCAGAGCACTGGCTTTCAGAAGCAAAAGTGAGTACTGGTGCCGAGGCATGAAATGCCCAACAGACAACATTTTAGTACAGATACATTCTGCAGAAGGTTCAGCCCTGCCCACACAAAACAGAGAGCTGGAATCACAACAGATGGCCGGCAGGTTCGACCGAGCCCCGCGAGACCACAACAGCCCATAGTTTCCATAACATGAGCATGGAAAATGCAGAAATACGCCCTGCGGAAAATGCACACCAGATTACTTTCATGGAACGCACACTGGGACCGTTCTTCGTAAGGCTGAATGGCGCATTAACAAACAAACAATCCTCCATTTGTTGTGCACATCACAAACAATGTGGTCACTACTGGCACAGTTAGCTTCTGGTGAGGCACTTAAGTCACTTTAGAAAGGATTGTCATGTGGACTCAATCCCTGTCACCTTGCTGGGGACATTTTCCAGTAGATAAGACTCTTTTAATTCACTTTTGATTCTGTGATCTGTAGCTACAGTTCAGTTTGAAACAAGTCTTTAATGATTTGCTGACAAAATACAGTAAAACAAATTTCGATCACTTCCCATTCATCTTAGTGTATCTCCAGAAAGCATCTGTGACGGTAAACCAGTGCCAAAAGCACATGTATCCCCCGTGTAGGGAAAACAATTATATATCATTTCATATATATAATCAGTCAGGTGCGTTTCTTTATGTACAGACATATGGGTATGAAAGTACCTTCCGAAGATGATATCACCAGGAGAAGTACTGGAAAAGTCAGGTCAAGTCAAATGGGCTTTATTGTCATACCATCCATATATAAGTATTCAGTGACATGAAACAGAGTTCTCAAAGAACCAAGGAGCAACACACTACAGCAGTGAAAGAGGGAGGGTTTTCACAGGACTTAAAGTAAAAAACACAGGGCAGCGCAAACCTTAAACATACATGACCTTTAGTGTCTTATACCAGAAGTAGTTCAGGTAATGTACGCACACTCTGAGAAAGGTACTCAACTTTAATTCGCTCATTAAATATCAACACATAAAGGAGTAATGGATTATTCAGCCTTATGAATCTGTTTAGCGGAATAATCTACATGCAGGTTAATCAACATTTTATAAAACCAACTTTCCTCACTCTTTTCAGTCAGGTAGGTGGTGAGAACGGCAACTGAATACATTTCTAAATAGGTATAACCTGCCTTCTTGATTCGGGTATGAATGACATACAGGTCCAAATTCCAGAAAAGAGAGGACTTGCTGTGCCCACAGGCCACTCTAACAGGGAGGGAGGAGAGATATGCATGTGTAGACTTCACTAGTGAGTCATCGGGCAGGTAGACACCTCGCCCTGAAGCACCACAGATTACACCGAGCATTAGCAGACAGAAGGCATCACGCGACCACATCAGTTTAAATCGAAAAATGATTTTCTTCATTTTGCAGGGCAGAAAAAAAACCAACAGGGCACATTTCTTTTGCTGCTTACAATAAAAATCCGACAAGGTCAGTTATGTTTTGATGAGAATGTTGAAAACATATCCCCAGGCACAAACAAAGATACAACACGCACAAAAAAAAATCCTTGGTTTTGTTATTGATCTAAGGACATATTTTAGGAAAACAAGTGGACTTGATGTAAATGAAAATGATGTAAATGATCTCTAATTAGGGCAGCCAGGGGCACATCAGTTAATACACAATCGCATTGGCTCATAACCAAACCGCTACAGGAAGCAGGAGTTCTCTACTCAAGAAAAGAATTCAAGTTCAATTAATACAAAATACTCAATGTTTTTTGGCCAAAAGGTATCAGATGGGGGGGAAAAATAAAAACAAGACAGGGATTTGCATATTCAGGTCACAACACACAGGCAACTTACAGAAAAGCTGGCGTGGCGAGGACCTCGTGGGGCCCAGTACTGCCTGTCTGATCTGCCCTTCCGCAGTGTCCACTGGAGCGGAAACTGGGCCATGAGATCAGGAAAAAGAAGAGCCTGAATACACAGCAGCAGTGGAAAGGTTACCAGTGAAAAGGTAACTGGTCACAGAGTACTAGTTACCCTGTTAACAATGTAAAAAGTAAAGGGCAACACTTTACTTGAAGCAGTCTACATAAGGGTGACATGTAACCATCATAAGAATGACATAAGAATGACATGACACATGTCATGCACATTAATGACACATTATTGATATTTATGACTGTTGTCATAATGTGTCATTCAGTTCCAAAAACCGAATGACAATTTATGACAACAGTCATAAACATCAATAATGTTAATATGCATGACATGTGTCATGTGATTCTTATGTCATTCTTATGACGGTTACATGTCACCCTTATGTAGACTGCTTCAAGTAAGGTGTTACCAAGTAAAGTAAGTATTTGGATTACTTACGCAAAGAAATACAACTTATTGCATTTGATTACTTTTCTAACAGATGTTTTAAACTGGGAAAATGAAACTGAGAAGTTCCAATGGCTTTGCTGGCCCGCATTGTCTGGAAATATGCCAACAGAAGGCATTTCCGCACGACAAAAAGATGCAAAGCAACAAAGTTAGTTATTTTCTACAAAAAAGCTTTTTACTGAAAACAGTATATTTGGATGTGACCCCTTTGTAATTGATATGTAACTGTGATTACATATTATTTCTCAGTTACTGAAATGGCCTACAATTACATTTCTCTTGTAATTTCATTACGTAACACAGTTACATGTAATTAGATACCCATCTGGAACCAGATCGTGGGGAACTCTCCCCCAACTATATTTTTTCATGGGCAAATCCTTTTTAATACTTTTAATGGCTACACACAACTAATCACATGTGGGAGGAAACCTGCACAACACAAGAGGAACATGCAAACCAGGGCTCACAGAGCTAGAGGGGAAGAGGTCTGAGCAGCCAGCCCCTGGATGCGTGCCGCAGCAGTGCCAGCTTATTGCAGCAGCATGCTACTGACGCATGTTTTCTGCGTGAGAATCAGAACTCAGAGTAATTACTGGTTTCCACATCAGTCTCCCGTGTGTTATTGCGGGGCTGCTGTGTCAACACACAGGGCTGCTATTACAGCGTCGCCCATCAACACGAACCATCCCGCATCTCTGTTTAATGAATTACATGGATGAAGTATAACAACTTAACAGGAATTTTATAGTGGCAATAATTCAGAGCACAACCAAACATCTCACACACGAGTCATATTCACGTGCCTCTACATGTTAGGAGGAGAAGGAGGAAATTTTTACACGAACTTCAAAAATATAAAGTCTTTACAGTTTTTACATGTAGATTTACATCTAGGATCCCCTTAAATCTATATAGGATTAATGCCTGTTTTGAAAAGGGTTAATATTTCAAAACTCTTCTTTGAAGTGATATCATGGTCTCCGTGGACTTTTCAGAGATCAATAAAACTCAGAATAGCAAACATTTAGACAACACTGTTTAAAAAACTCTGGACTGTACTTAAGTACTTGGTTAAAGTAAGAATACATTACTAAGTGTTTATGGATAATGAAATAAAGGCTTTGAACCCTGTTGGTGTGACATCTCTCACTCTGTACAACAAAGTAAGATAGCACACTATTCATTAATTTTAAACAGAATAATTTGGATAATGAATTAACTTTGGAAAAAGAAAGCAGCAACTGAACAAATTTCTTTTGCACTCCTACAGCAATTGCTGACCAGAGGCTCACACACAGATGCGCTTCTCTGCGGATGAAACACGGTAAAGGTGATTCTGTTAATTGTCACAACAAGACACCCGAAAGCCACAGAGAAATCAGCCGTCATGACAGCTCAGTCAAAAGGCATGTGGTTGCCATGACTTCTGTGAAAACAAATTGCCTATGAAGAAACAAACTTGTTTTGCTTACGTAGTGCATGGTATATATTGCAGAGTATATTTCAAAATCTAAAGGGAAGTTTCCATCTGTGGTGAGGTGCCGCATTAATATGTAATAACGTCATTGGTAGTGTACAGTGCCTTTGAATACAAACGCAATGAGGTGTATTTCAATAAACCTGAAAACGGGGGGGGGGTAATAGGGGTGTGAAAAGTAACTGAAATTATTTAGGGATATTTAAAATGACATTTCTAATACGCACTAAGAAAGTAAGGAAGTGTTTCCAGCCCTTTTTGCCGTTACCTCTGCGCCTCCCTGTTCACTGCCTCCAGCTCCTCGTACCATTAGCCCTCCAGCTCCTTCTGCCGTTACCTCTGCGCCTCCCTGTTCACTGCCTCCAGCTCCTCGTACCATTAGCCCTCCAGCTCCTTCTGCCGTTACCTCTCGCCCCAAGGTGCTTTACATGGGTGTGTTGTGATACATTACATCATTAATACAGAATGTCACAAAAACAGGGATAATTTACTTTGGAGAAGAAAGCAGCAACTGAAGACAATTTCTGGCATCAAATCTGTGGGGCTCCGTCTCCTGGGAACGATGCCCCACCCCCACTTATTATTAGATACACAGCCGTAATTTAAGCAGGAAGCGTGAAACGTGGAGTTAGAGAAACCACGTGTTCCCAGATGTCATGGGGTTGGGCACCATGTGTGCTAGGTGAATGTCTTACTGAAGACCCCGGAGACAAGGTGAACCCTTTCTGCAGACACTATCAGACTGTCCCGTCCTCATAAATGCACCTGTTGTTTCCCTGAAAGAATTAAATTGAGCGCAATTTTTCATCACTTAATGTTACAACGGCCACTCTGAGTGCTGGCTGGCACAGGCAACCATGACACACACACACACACATCTATATAAATATGTGTGTGTGTATATATATGTGTATATATAGTCTCTGGACTGTCTGGGTAAATGTTATATCAATTGTTATCTCAGTTAATTAATGTTTGTGCTTATCTTTGAGGTTCTGAGCAGTGATGTTTATGATTAATCATGTGTGATAGGTAGTATGCTGTTTCCCAAATCTCCTGCAGTGCCAGGCCCTCTTCACTGTTGTGACTCTTTGGAATTAGGCTCGTCTCTTTCCTGTGAATTTCTCAAGAATACCAATCAATATGAAACTGTCCCAGAGTGTTAAGGTGACACCTCCTACTGTAAATACACATCAGCCTCGAGTTCCAGTGCTTCCTCTTGACCCCCCACGACCTTCACCTTCTGTCGCTTAGTCAGCGGCTCCTCACTGATCACACCCTCTTCCTCCACGTCTGTGCAAGGCCCTGTTAAAAGAGGCCATGGCCCTCTGGCTCAGACATGATCACTGGGGGGGGGGGGTGAGAGCTGTTCCAAGCCAAAACCAACCTGTCACATGGTGTGTGTGCTGTGTGCCTCATAACAGATTTCTGATCTATTACCTCCCCCCCCTTTTCATTAAAGTAGTGGCAGACATCTTACATATCTACAGGACAACACAAACATTACACCCTTTTTGGCCAAAGTATAAGCACCATCCTCCTCCAACCTGTCTCCCAAAAACCTGAAGGCCTTTCCACACAGAACCAGTATGTGTAGTAACATATCAGAAGGAAAATCTGCAGGAAACAGACAAACACTATATGGACAAAAGTGTTGGGAGATGTCACTCTAAATTAAAGGGTGTTAATATCAAGCTGACTGACTAATAGCCTGTACTCCTCTGGGAAGGCTTTCCACTACATTCTGGAACATCGCTGGTGGGATTTGCTGCCGTTCAGGGTGGGTATTGATGCTGGGTGATCAGGTCCCTTCCTGTGAGCTTGTGTGGCCCCCATCTCACAGCTGGACTTGCTCCCAGATGTTTCTATTTTTCTTGAGGTTGACCAGGGCAGCGCTAGCAGGACAGAAATGTGGGGAACCGCCATGTTGGAAAGGTGTCCAGTGGTGTCTAATGACGGTTCTAGGCTGACTGACCTCTTCTGTATGATCCCCCCCCCCCACACCATTCTGCTGCCATTGAGTCTCATGCAAGGCATTCGTGCGTCAGCTGTCACGTGATCAGTTGTGCAACACGAAGGTTGTCATTTTTAAGAAAAATCATCCAGTAGCCACAATCAGCCACCCACCAGCAGACAAATTGTGACATTTCACCCACTTACACCTAGTTCATACTTCACTTTTCCATTTGTGCTTAAAGTCCATGCACTCTTGTGTACATAATACAGAAGAAGCTTCTGTACTGCAACATTTGGCCACAGTTGCAGATGGCCACGGTCGGCACATGCATACAGCAGTGATACTCCACCAGAGCAGGAGAGGACAGATGTATTGCAACAAACACAGATACAACCAGTGGAGCGAAATGGTTAAACTTTTATGGACAGTTTTAAAGTTGTTACTAGGTTTGGATGGTGTTACCTCCACACTGCATGCAACAGATATTCTTCTTCTACTCTTTCTTCATTGACTTCATTGACTTCTACTCTAGGTGCAGTCAGTGCTGCCACCTACTGGAAACAAATTTCTTGCACATACAGAGTCGATGTGCAACAACACATAAAAATTTGGGCCGGTATGCATAAAACTTCCTAAGAATGGTCTTAAGAATGGTCGTACACTTGGACTTAACAGTTAAAAAAATCTTAGCAAAAAGTAGGACAAAAGTATAAAGCTGCTAAAAGTAACTTTCAGCAAAGTCTAAGCCCAATTCCTATGTGCTTACGGAGCCAAAGTGTCGTGAAATGAGGACTACAAATAAAATCCTGGTCCAAATACTAGTGTTGTAGTCAAGACCACCTAAACCGAGACCAAGACATTGCCGAGACCGGAGGGTATCAAGACCAAGACACTGCCGAGATATGAGGGCACCAAGACCAAGTCCAAGACCAAGAAACACACTAAGGCGAGACCAAGACCAAGACTGGTCGAGACCAAGACCAAGACCGAAAACAGACTAGGGCTAGAATCGACATTACATTACTCAGATCAACTGTAGAGAAAAAAGTCATTGTTGTAAAGTGTCATTACTCGTTAAATCAAATTCATGTTATCTTTTCAATTATATTGTCCATATGTCCATATGTCTCTCATTTAAA